TTTTCGGGAAGGCACCAGAAATACCCCTCTAGCCCCTCCAAGGAAGCCACTGACCTGGGAGCATAAGAGAAGCCTTTCTTATTCCCCCATATCCTGGTCTCTTTGCGGGCATGTCCTCTCTGTTTGTATAGGTTTCAAATCCCAAACATATCACCTTGGAGGGCAACAGAGACTAAATTCAAGAGATAGGTAAACTGAGGCCCAGAGAGAAACGGGGGTTGCCTAAAGTCAGGAGAGACTTTTCACTATTGGTCTAGGTAACTTTACCCACTCCTTCCACACTGTGCCCCCTCATGGAAGAAACCAAGGTAAGCAGCAGTGAAATGACAGGAAGCAGGTACCACTGAGAATCAGCTGGGACATCAGCAATTTGGATGACACATGACATCCCTTTCCCACAAAGGAGCCTCAGGCCCCCTCAGCAGAGACTCACAGGAAGGGAACAAGACCACCGTAGGGTAGAGCAGAAGGACAATATTTGAGGCTGAGAGGGAGCCCCGCTTGACCTGTAGGTCACAGCCACTCTCCTGCCCGAATGACAACGTCCTCTGAGGTTCCCACTGCACCCCTGTCAAACCACCCACCATTCACACTATGCTATCTTGCCTGTCAAATCATCTGTGGTCCCCACTAGCCAGTGGCTGAGAGTCCCCAGGGGCCCACTCAGAGCTCAAAAAAGATTTGGTAAGAGAATAAACACTGAAGAACATCCCACCAACAGTCCTCCAAAGCCACTGGTCACCTGAAGTCATTTCCCTAAAGGGCCAGCAAAGTCTCTTACAAGAAAGAAAGATCCCAGCCAAGAATGATTCCTCATTTTGAGAGAGTGTTTTAGGATTTACCAAGGGCTTTGGTGTACAAGCGCTTCTGCCTGGCACCGAAGCTTACCTTTCCAGACTTACCTCCGTCCCCCTTACACACCGTTCTACCTGCACAGTCAACAGGTCAGCTGGGTAGTATTGGCCTCCGGCCAGCATTTTACACGTCCTTGTCTTCTCCCATAAATAATGGCAGAGTTGAACACACTGATGAGGCCAGAAAGGGTGACCCTTGCCTCCTGCTCTCATCCCAGAACATCCCTGCATACACAGGCCTTCTGTGCCAGGATACTTAAGATGCAGACTCTCCTAAAACTAACTGGTATACCCAGGTCTGGAAAGAAAGTGACCCCATGCGTGCCCTCCGCCACCTCATGTGCCCCTGCAGAAATAGCCACCACAAGGGGAGTAAGTAAAGGCCACAGACTGGTATCTGCCATTCCCAAAGGAAGCAGGACTAAGTACGGGTGGGGGAGGAGCAGAGAGCTAAGGGAGAGAGGAGTGGGAAGGCTGGAGAAGACTCCTCCAAAGGGGCTAGGAGGTTGCAGAGATCGGTGTGTTTATCTAGCTGGGGAAGAGGCACTGCCAGGTCGACTTTGTAACTGAATCCACCAGACAGGCGGACTTCGCAATGCAGCCGGCCCAGGTTTCTGGAGAAAGCACTGGGCAGCTGGAACCTCTCCCCCTGATCAAGCCCCCCTCCCAGGAGCTCAAGAGGATTTCCCTTTCATTTCCTTCCAGGCTGAGAGGGCAGAGGACAGCACAGTCTGTGGGGTCAAGCCCTCCAAAACCACTTCCTATGTGGCTGGGGGACAGCGAGCAGCTGGAGGATATATCTGGGGATCCTTGAGTAAAAACAGCAGAAGTCCCTGGGGTGGGTCATTGCTCTTCAGGATGCCCAACGATGTTGAAGAGATTTTAGGCCCTTGCAGGAGAATTCGGTGCATGAATACGCACTCTGTTCCCTGCTAGCCGTGGCCAAGAGGGGAACAGAGTTGGGCGTGGGAAGGACACTTGGAAGGGGCTCCTCATCCCAGCTGTCTGGAGAGAATCCGGAGACACCCCTTCCAGCCCCTCCCCCAAGTCCCCTTCAATCAGGACTCCCCAGGCCAGAAAGAAGGGGCGAGAAGGCCCCGCCCGGGCCTGGGCTGCTTAGCCAGGCTCAGCAGAGAGGTGACGCGCTCCAGGCGCCCCGGGACTTTGGGCGGCGAGTTTGGCAAAGCAGAAAGAAGCCAGGCCAAGCCGGGCGGGCAATGCGGAGTCGGGCCAGGACAGGCCAGGAAGAGCCCTGCAAAATAGGAAACGGTCAGGCGTGGTGGGGCCGAGGGCGGGGGCGTGCGGGGGCACCCACCTCTCCGCGTTGCAGCTGGAAGAAGCTGTTGAGATAGCTGGAGTGCAGGGGCGAGCCCAGCTGCTCTGGGCGGCCCTTGCCGAAGGCCAGCTCGGGGGGCGCGGCGCCAGCGGGCGGCTCGGGACGGAAGGCATCGAAGGCGCTAGCCTGGTGCGTATCCTGCAGCGACAGGTAGACCCAGTTGAGCAGCTGGGCCGGCTGGTGCACCGAAGCGGCGCTCGTGTCGATGGCCGACAGCAGGCTCATTTTGCAGCGGCGGTGCCGGCCCCTCC